TTCCCGTCGGGGAGCGCGGGGCCGGGGCCCAGGGGACCCCGGGCCACGGAAAGCGGGAAGAGGATGGACTGCCCGGCCCTCCCCCCCGGGTGGGAGAAGGGGGGAGTGATCCGAAAATCAGGGCTCAGTGCTGGCAAGAGCGATGTCTACTACTTCAGGTACCTCTCTGAGGGTGCGGGGGTGGGGTAGGGGTGCAGGGTCAGGTAGGGGTCAGGGATCACGAGCTGACCTGGGCAGGGGTTGCAGGACTCGAGCAGAGTCCTGAAGGTATATGACAAGGACTGGGTGAGCTGGTATGGGGAGGGGGTGCTGGGGTCCTTGGCAGAGGTTGGACCTCAGTGGAGTGAGGGGCACAAGTGTCTGAAAGGTGAGGAGGACACGTTCTGCAGAAGACTTCCGGGGAAAATGGTTTGCGAACGAAGGGTTAATGGAAAGGAAGGTTACTTAGGCCATGAAAGGGTTAAAAGAAGGTGTAATTCATCGAAACTCTAAAACCCAGTCACTGTTGGCGCCTGTCCCAGCATGTCCCAGATTCATCATCAGAAGTGCGTTTAATCGTGCCCGTGTGGAAGAATTAGCCATCTACATACAGGGAGAAAGTTTCAGTTAACTTTGTAGGACCTAGGGAGGTCTCACGTAGAAGTCGTCATTTGTGACTCCAGGAGCTGTGTGGAATGCTTTGGCGTGGCAGTGTGCCCTTGTCGTTTGACAACGGAAGTTGTCAGACTCCCAGACTAACATTTGTTCCCCCAGTGAACTTGTGGCAGTGTCTGGAGACATTTCTGGGTCCCACCTGGGGAGAGGGTGCTGTTGGCGTTGTGAGGGAAGGCCGGAGGTGCTGCGGTGCTGCAGTCATGAGCTTCCCCCAAGTGCGAGCCACGAGTACAGCTGAAATGCTTCAAGGCTTTTCTCTTGAATGCCATCTTGCAGTACTGTGGTTACGCTGCTCACGCCCTTCATTTGTGATGGGTGGCAAGCTCAGGAAAGGGTCAGTGGCCGCTGATACCAGTGGGATTATGAACGAACTAAAGGTTCCTCCACACCTTCCCATTTATCATTGAGTACAAACATGTTATAGTCAGTAGCTTGAAGGACCCTGGGTGGAACGGTTTTCAGTCAGTGTAATATTTGAGTGCTTGGGAGCTAGTTCTTAGTCGTTCAGAAGCTGGAATAACGTGAAAATTTTCCTATTGGTCATTCAGCTGGTGCGGGGTGTGAGCAGCGTTTAAGGGGTTAAAAAGTTGTGTACCAGCATGCATCAAAATACATGAATGTAGTTAGTGTTAATGTAGCGCATAGACATGAGCATATTGCTTTCCCTTTCTCCTTGGTGGTGTTGGTCAAACCCAGGGCCTGGTCCATCTACAGACAAGTGTTCTGCTACTGAGGAGCATCGCCAGACCCTGAACACATTCTTGCCGGATGCTCAGATACAGGAATGTTTAGCTTACTCTTTTTCAGCTCTTGAAGTTAAAAAAAAAAGTGTTGAGTTCCAACTCATTCACTTTGTTTGAGACAACTTATTTTTAGTGTTGGGGATTGAATCTATTCCTTGGATTCACTGGGCGAATACTGTAAACTGAGTTACGGTGCTGTTCCCCTGCTCCCTCTGAAAATTTTGTGGTAAGCACCTCACTGAGTTTCCCAGCTGAACTTGAATTTGCCTTGAACTGGTAATGCTCATGCACAGCCCCCAGTGTCGCTGGGATTACAAGGTGATTATGTGGGTTTGTTTCAGTTTGTCCATCACTGCTCAGTGCAGTGCTATGATGTTGCTAAAAATAAAACAGTAGCTGCTAGCTGGATGTAGTGGCCCACGCCTTTAATTTCAGAACTCAGGAGGGGAGGCAGGCAGAGTTCCTAACCTGGTCTACAGAGCGAGTTCCCTGCCTAACAGCCAGGATTACACAGAGAAACCCTGTCTTGAAAAACAAAAGAAGTTAAAAGGCTGCTGTTGTTAGATACATTTGTTTCATTTAACGCTGCTTTACAGTTCTTCTTTGCTTAGGGTTTGTTTTACTGTTACCTTTTCTAGTAGGCAGACTTCACAGGCTGTGTGAACTGCTGCTGATGTCTCGGAGGCAGTTGTATTCGACAGGAGTCTTTTGTATCTGGGATTGAATCCATTCTCAGTTGAGCATTGTAGAATTTGTATTTCATCGCTTGTGGAACTTGTCTTGCAATATGGTTTGTTTGGTTTTGGAGTGATGTATTTATTCAAATGAACTTTGCATTATAGAAAAGCTTGTGTTTTTTTTTTATTTTGAATACGTAGCTGGAAAAGATATTCAAAAGCCAAACTGGGTGTGGTTGCGCATGCCTGTAGTCTCAGATACTCAGGAAGTTGAGGGGACAGGATCACTTGAGCCCAGGAGATTTGATCCAGCCTAGTTAATGTAATGAGACTCTTGTTTCTAGAAGCACAACATTAGAAGCTGGTGAGATGGTTTGGCAGGTACAGGTTCTTGCTGTCAAGCCTGATGACTGAGTTTGATCCCTGGAACCCACCCTGTGGAAGGAGAAGGCTGATCTTAGAGAGTGTCCTCTAGCCGCCTCCTCGCCATCACTACACCCTGGCCACCACATATACACCAAGTATTAAATACACACACACACACACACACACACACACAAACAGCTGGAGCTCTGGACTGTTGTGCTTATTTAGGGCTAAAAGAGTGTTGTCTGTGGTTTGTTGTCCTCTTGTGAGATGTTACTCTGTTGCCTGCTGTGACTCTCTTCAGAGGCTGTACTATGGATGTATGAAGCTTGTACGGCATTAGTTTCTTTAGTTGTATGGCAATTTTTTGTGATGGATTATGGTGACGGACCAGTGAAACTTGAGTTCACATTACTTTTCAGCCTTAGTTTTACATATTGGTGTCCACGTGGTACCTGCCTTAAACCAGGAGCTCAGAATGTCTGCTAATGGTAGGTTGAGTGGGAACCCTCCTGCTGGTAATGTGAACACCGTCACCCAGCTGTTCACACAGATTCTAACATTACTAACCCCTGAATTAGCCTGCTCCTGGGGAGATTAATTTGAACTAAGCCATGCCTATTTACTGAGGGTGTGCCCAACACTTATTAATTGGGCTGACTTTAATGCACAGGGAAAGCCTCAAATTTTGGTGGAATATGTTTTGGCTGCATCTTGAAACTGTGTGTAATAGAAGCACCTCTGGTTGCCAGTTAAGCACTGTAATTATGCCTTCTGTCAGGATTACTGAGATAGTGCTGTGGCGGTTCATATATTATCATCCAAAGCATGTTTTCAAAAAGGGTGTGGTTTGCTAAACTACTGGGTCCACTGGTACAGTTTCTGAAAAAAATTCATTGCCACATTTGAACCCATAAAGCAGTAATTTTCTTATTCGCCTTGCGATCCTTCATTTCCAGTGTTTGGCTTTTTGTGCAACACATACTGTGATTCTGAAATACTTTCCTCTTCATAGGGCTCTTTAGGACCTTGTTCTCTCTTGCCTTCTCCTTTTCCCCCTCTGTGCAGCACTTGTTGGTCCTGGTACCAGGCATATAATCCCAGGCTGGCTTTGAAGTTGTGGCAGTCCTATCTCAGTGCCTCCCAAATGCTGGAATTGCAGGCACACACTATCGCTCTTGGCTGGCTTCACTTTCTTGAACTAAAAAGAGCAGGACTCAGGTGTTGCTGAGGTCCATAAAAATCACAAATGATCTGAATAGAAGTAGGAGTCTCCAGAGGAGGCAGCTGGGTGTAAGATTAGATCTGGGCATGGTTCTCCACCTCCTGGGCCTAACAGTGGTGCACTGTGAACACACCACAGTTTTCCCCATGCTCTTGTTTGCCCACTTATTAGTGGAGTCTGCTTGTCACATGAACCTCAGAATATTTGACGCAAGGATTAATACTGTCCTTGCTCAGGTAATCAAATAGGCAACACATTCAGAAAGGAGAGACCATTAAGTTTCTTTTTGCTCACAGTTCCAGAGGCTACAATTCATTGTGGCTGGGAAGGCCCTATTCCAGGTTATTATCCCTGACCCAACCTTCAGTATTTGAAGCAAATTTAATACAATATAATTTCATTCATAAAGAACCTCTTCAGTAAGTTGCTTGTGGCCGTATGAAAAATGGAAATTGTATAACTACACATAGTGCAGTATTGCAAAACGAGAAGAAAAGTCAGCAGTCACGTCACGATTACTCCTGCCACAGTGGTGCTCTCTCCATGGGTTCAGAGGAGGGAAACACATTTACTGTGAGGGATATGGGGTCTTCATGGCAGACAGAGCATGTTAGGTTCATAAAAGTAGGAGTCTTCAGAGGAGATCTTGGGAGTTTGGAGTGTTGCATTATAGACCAGGTAAAAGATGGGTCATTCAGCTCATTCATGACAAAATGAATTAACCAACATGGCTGGAACAAAGGTCATGGGGTAAGAGAAGTGGAAAGTAGGGTTGAAAGGTTGAAGGAGCCAGGTTACAGAGCCTCAGATGCAGGGCTAATGGGGAAAATCCACTGAACACTATTAGTTTTATATTTTAAATTTATTTAAATTTAAATAAATTTATTTTATACATAAAATATAAAATTATATACTTACATATTCTAAAAACTAAGTCTACGTTGAAGGCTTTTAAAGAGTAGCTATGGTTCAAGTGTCCTGCTTTAGGATGGACATTGGGATACTTTAGAATGCAGAAGCTAGCAGATAGTCTGTCATGGCGACCTGAGGTGGTTAAGACCATGTTGACTGTAGCCATGTGCAGGATGGGTTCAAAGGTGATTAGTAACTGATCAGACATGGAGAATAATATGAAAGTCAATAGCAATCTACTGGGGCATGTTGTGCAGGGGCTTCTGAGTGTTCATTTTAGGGACGAGTGTGTGTGTGCAGAGGTGCGGAGGAGCTGTGAGGAACAGCTGCAGGGGTGCGGAGGAGCTGTGAGGAACAGCTGAGTCAGTCTTCCTGTCACTGCACACTGGTTTTGAAAGCAGGAGTATGCATTTTTTAAAAAAATTTTGGCAATTTTCTGACAATTATGGTTTATACTTAAGTACAAAAGATAATTCGAGGTTTACATTTTAGCTTCAGATAAAATTTGGTTTCTTGGGGAGTTGTTTTTAATGTTACAGAAATCTTTTGTTTTGAATCTTTATTCAAGTTTGAGCAAATAGAAAGGGTGGGGTAAAGAAACAACTTACAAAGTTTAAGGGTTAGAGAGATGCTCAGTGGTTAAGAGCACTGGCTGCTCCTCCAGAGCCGAGCGTTTCCTTCCCAGCTCCCACATGGTGACACCCAGCTGTCTGTAGCTGCAGTTCCAGGAGCGACAAGGGCGCTGCAGACATGGTTCAGACATGCATGCAGGCAAAATGCCCGTACATTTAAAAACATAGAAGTATTCTTTTAAAAGCTTGAGGTTTCGGTTAATCTTTTTCAGTGTTAAAGTATATAGAAGTTTTTTGTGTGTGAGGGTTTCCCTTAATTCCTTATAAAGTTCTTGATCGTGGTGGGTAGTCCTGTAGTTCTGAGCGTGTTCTTCATCAGTGTAACTAGCCCTCTGCCTTCTGAGAGGCCCTGTCCCTCACAGACGGCTGTGTGTCATTCCACTGTAGTGACTGCCATGCCCACGGCTCATCTGTCAGAAATGGTCTTTGTAACAGCTATTAATGCTGAAGCTCACTTGTCATCAACATGTCCTGCTGTTAGCAGAGGGCTTCAGAGGATGGGTTCAGTTGCACACTGCAGTTTGGAGACAGGGTGGTACAGCAGAATGCAGTTGTCTGCTCAGGAGATAATGGTTCCAGGTGAGTTCACAATGTGACAGAAATGCAGATGGCACTAAGCATTCTGGTGTCTCAGGTACAGTTTCTAAATTTTCTTTTACATAAAGTTTCTTCTGGGTAATTATATTTAAGAATCTTTAACATGGAGTTACGTTTAACAGTCACTTTAGGCAGTTTGACAGAAATTAAAGGAGGCTGGGTTCAAGTGATGAAATGTCTTCATACGAACAGAGATTCGACTCATAGTTTGATTTTTAATTAAATAGTGGAAAGCATAAATTAAGTGCACGATTGCAAGTTAGTTCAGGAATGGGGTAGGTTAACAGGGAAATTTTCTTTGTGGTTGAAACTGAGATAGTATTTCATTACTTTGGTGAGAGCAAACTGAAAATGACTAATCTAATCACCAATCTACTAGTGTTAAAAAAAGCAATACTGTAAACTTAAGTTATGAATTGATATTTCTAAATAAGTAATTGACATCCTAGACTAATAGCTTAGTCACTTTGCAAGTTCTAGTATTTCTGTGATGCAGACGGGTAGCAGTCATCTTAGAGGGTGATGGGAATGTAGTCCCTGTCTGTGCTCAGCCGGGCACTCAGGGTCAGTGCTGCTGTGCAGCTGGTGTGAATCTCATGCACACATTTCCTTCTTAACTGTTCTCTTGGGCCTTGTCTTCCTATTGCTTGTCCCTATCTCCTACAGAGTAAGGTCCCTGGTGTTCAAATTCCCTGGGGCAGGCAGGTTTGCTTTTTTGAAGCTTGTTATTGAAAAGGACAGTGGCTTCTCCTGAGTTTTCTGCATGGCACATATCTGCCAGATGCCTTACAGAGTCCTATCTGTATGGCAGGAGTGAAACAGAACTTGGGAGGCAACAGTTGATTTGCTAATCTTGCAAATTTCTGCATTTTACCCTTCTTGGATTATAATTAGTGGAGTATGTGAGAGTTTCATCCTGGGCCTTGTGCTTGCTGGGCCAGCTCTGTACCTCTGAACTGTGTTTGCAACCCAGAATAGTCTTGAGAATGAGTCCTGTCCTTGGGTATTTACATCTCTGGAGTCTGAGGAGAAGTGTCCAGAGTAACCTCCTTAGTGAGTTTTGCTCTGAGGAAGCCTTGACATTGAGATACTGGCATATTTTCAAAGTGACTTTTAACACACAAGGAAACACCTCTTGCACATTCAACTTTGAAATTCATTGGTTCTTCCCAAAATGACTGTTTGTCTCAGCCACATGCTAAGCAGTGTGGTGCTTATCTTTTTGGTAAAAGTTATACTGCCTGAATATTTTCAAGTTCTGAAAATAAGTCAGCTGAAAGATCCACACTGGAGCTCAAGTTTTTATTGCATTAAAAGAATCTTTAGGCAGAAATCCAATTTAGAATTGTCATTTTATTTTGTGGAAAGATATTTTCTTGTTCTTTTTTATATACTGGAGATACTGAACCTAGGGCCTTATAGATGTTAGGTGAGAATCCTGCTACTGAGCTATATCATTCTTTCCTTCTTAAAGCCACCAGGTTGGGCTTGGACTCTCTCTTGCTTCAGCCTCTAAGCAGCTGAGATCGCAGCATGCATTACTGACTTAGCTTCCTTCCTCTCTCTCCCTCCTTCATTCCCTTATTCACTACATGTTAAAGATAGTTTATCAGGATGTTCTTTATCAGTCACATAACTGATATGTTATGATATCACATGACTATTTGATGACAAGGGCTTCATGGGTATTCTAGCTTAATTAAGACTATAATCATATAAATGACTGAAATACAATAATTATATTTTTTCAGATTAATTTGAGTGATGTAGTAAAACTGACTAGGGGTGAAATTTTTATTTTTAATTTTAAGTGTATGATTCATCCCAGCATGCCTGCAAATGAAAACTACATTCTTTCTTACTCAATTGATAGGTTTCTTGCTCTCAGTTACTTTGTTCAATGGTTGCCTCTGTATAATGACTTTTGAGAGTTTATCAAAAGGGGTTTATAATATGTGGTTGTTGGAAATATATAGGAGTCAAGGAAACATACAGGAATTGTAATGAAATAAAATTTCAGAGGACTGTGCAATTGCTTTTCATTTGGACTGGAGAATAACAAGGCACATGATGATTTAGGTGGGCTTGAAGGACATAATATCTCATTGACAGGTTCATCCCATCTGGAAAGATAGATAGACTGTACCTTTGGAATCAAAGGTACATAGCATATTTCAGTGACTGAGGTTGTAATTTAGGATACCAACGTCGACAGGATAAAGTCTGCAAACAGTAAATTTGATTGAGTTCTTTTGATGATGTACTAAGGAGGGGAAGGCATTTTGTCACCACTGGGGAGTCTGAGAATTTGAATTTGGTGCTGGATGGGTGGCGGAGGAATATGGGAGATGAAGGGTTGTTAGTGTTCGTTCAGCTAGGAGGAGTAGATGCTACATGGGCAGTGATGCCACTGGCAAAGATAGGAAGTGTGTGGTTGAGAGTGATGATCGAGCTTGAGGCAATGTTGAAAGTACCCTGATGGCTTCGCTTGTGGTGCTATGCCTGTTTTCCAGTGTAAAATGCAGTTGGATTTGAGATAGTCTGTGTGTGATCATATCTTCTTTCCCAGACTGGATTTTGGTTTTGGCTACTTTATTTACTGTCTTATGGTCTGGTTGGTGTTGGTTGTAATCTTCATCGTTGGTTGAATTTTGTAAAATTTGAATTGTGTTCCAAGAATACTTAAGTCATGGGATTGTGAACAACAAAGGTTAATAGGTCTTCCAGCTGTCCGGAGTCTGTGTTGACAGAATACCATGCAATGTGACAGATGACATGCTTTGTTCCTTAGACCTGAGCCTGAAGTTACTTCAGTCCAGCGTAATGTTGTATTGTTTTGTTCCCCAGATTTTAAAGTTCTTTGTTGAGTTATGTTTTACTTATTTTGACTAGTTAGAGCAAGGTAAAATTCCAGGTGTGGCATGCCAGCCTCTGTGAGATGCTTTCTGAAGTTCTAAGGGGTTTCTTCTGCAGAAACAGTCACGGTTTGTTCTAGCTATTGGGTTTATAAAAGTTTTTAGGTAAGACTTTAGGGATATTGTCCCTAAAAAGCAATTTCTTACAGATTAATAACACAGAACTCTTTTTTAGGGAATCTGTTCTCTGCAGTTCTGGCACTTTTACCGTTTTCCATCTTTGGCATTCTTGTTTATAAGAAGTAAATTAACTTATTTATTGGACTTTTTTGAGGCAGGGTCTCATAGCCCTGACTAGACTAGAAGTACCCTTGTAATTGAAGCTGACGTTTTGCCTCCATCTTAAGTGCTGGGATTACAGGCCAGACCTGTGCCATCACACCTGGCTAAAAAGAAATTATTTTTGATAAGCTTATTTTACTTAATTTTTTCTCTCGTTAGATCTCTGTGCTTTTTAAGTTTTACATTTGAAATTATAATATAATTGCAACATATCTCCCCTTTCCTCCTTCCAAATCCTTCCATATATTCCTCTCAGCTCTCCTTCAAATCCATGGCCTCTTTTTTCATTAGTTATTATTGCATGCATATATACATTTATATCTCTAAATATAACATGCTTATTTTAGACAGTTTGTCAAACAAAAGTCATGTCAGAATTGTATAAATAGGTTCACAGATGTTCTTGTTTTTCTTTTTAGTTGTAGTTTTAGTAGAAGCATTTACACATCAAAGTTTGTTTCTTTTTTCTATTATAGATACTATAAGTTTATGCCTGATTGTGTGGAGTTCAAATTCATGTTTTAAACTAGCTACTGACTTTAACAGTTTCTGAGCTCTTGACATTGTACATAAACCAGTGTTTTCAAAAGACAGTTTGGAAAGAAGTTGGTGAGAATGCAGACTCTGTAGGGAGTGTGCTCCATGGGCTGTGCTCGGCTCTCAGGCCGTTGGCTGGGGAATCTGCAGCAGCATGCGCACCCGGGAGAGCTGTGCTGAATGATATGCTTTCTCTTTCTGCAGAAAGTTAACTTCCTTTAAGACTTGTAGTAATTCCAAAATGAAACCCAACACATGTAATTGTAATTTGTAACAATCAGGAACAGAAATTACTGTTAAAAAAGGTTATGTAGGAATGTATTTTACGAAGACTATATGGAGGGTATTAATATTTCCTTTTGTACAAATAAACTTTTTTTTCCCTTCTAGTCCGAGTGGTAAGAAGTTCAGAAGTAAACCTCAGCTGGCAAGGTATTTGGGAAATGCCGTTGACCTCAGCAGTTTTGACTTCAGAACTGGCAAGATGATGCCTAGTAAATTACAGAAGAACAAGCAGAGACTACGGAATGATCCTCTGAATCAGAACAAGGTTGGTGACTGTACTCAGAGCATAGACATGCGCTTCCCAAGCTCTCCAGACGTGTTTCCTGTGCCACTGAGATCTCCGTTGTCCGAGTTTCTCTCCCCACTACAGAGTATTTTAAAACTTACAAGTGGGATGTATTTTTCTGTATTTGGAAGTGCTTGAACAGAGAAAGTGTGAAACACAGTAGAAAACGTTTCAGTGTGTTGGTAGGCTACCAGCCCGTACTACACATCGTGTTTTTTAAAAAGTATATTTCTTCTGTTTCCTTAAAAGAGGCAATATTACCACATAGTGGGTAACTGCATAGTAATATTGAAGTTGAGAGTCTCGGGAGGCAGTGTGACTCTGACTTTGATGTTGACAATACCGACTCAGACATCACTGTTCTCATCCTCAGAGATTTGTTTCCCTAGCCCTTAATTCTCTGGAACTGCTTGGTTGATTATTATATAGCAGTATAAACAAGTCACATTTGGATATATTAATTTAATTTGATTAAAGCTTTAGTGTCTTAAAAAAAAAGGTTCTACTCTTCTAAGAACAACTGACTGTGTATGACCCATAGACAGCTCATTACATGGTTCCTCTAAGTAGTGACCACCCTTAGTGCTGAGTCGGGAGTTGAGGTGGACATCACCATTACAGCTGCCTAAACCAGTAGTTTTAATGACTTTGTTATCAGTTGTTAAAGGTTTTCATTCCTATGTATTTTAGGAGCCTGTGTCTGTGTGTCACCATCTCCACTTTCTCAGGACATTCTTGTGAAAACAGAGTGAAAGCAGAGTCATTTCATACACAGGATGTGACTGATGTACCCCTGCCGGACCCTCATGGTCTGTGTTAGCTGATACAATCTATCGTAGTGTAATATCTGATACAGATAAACAACTTTCTGAGGTTGAAGCCTCTGAAGACCTGAGACCTTTTGGAGAGGGTAATAAAACTTCTCCCATAGCGTTATTGTGAAAATGAAGTGGGGGTTTACATAAAAACATTTAGCAAAATATTGACCTCTGCTATTTCCTTTTTCCCCCCTCCTAAATTGACCTTTCCTTCCCTAAACTGCAGCCAGCTTTCTGAGCAGCACGCTACCCTGCTTAGCATACTGTTTAGGAAGCTTTCTGGCTCAAGCCCTTTTCCTTTTCTCAAGCATATACACGCACTACTGTACGTGTGTATACATGACAGTTAAGATTTTCTAAAACTGCCCCTTTAAACTCTAGCACAGTACCGCTTGCTTGCCTACAGAAGGACCTAACTGTTCATGAAATGACGAGAACGCTTGTAAATTTTCCTCTTGTTCCCAGAGTCACATTTTAGCCTCATTTAATGCAATTTAAAGCTTTACTTCCTGACAGTTGTGGTTCATTGAAAACCAAATGCTAATTCGTCTCTAGTTTGTGTGCATCTTTCTGCTCTAGCTGCTCTGGACCACTCATCACTGCAGCATGGCATGCGCTTTCAGGACCTGCTTGCTTCTGTGCAGCTCCCTCTGCTTGGAATGTGCTTCCCCTCCCCCTCCACCTGGCGAACTCCTCAGCTGAGGCTCTGCTCCATTGCCTGCGTCTCTGGGAATCCTGTCCCTTCCTCCCTGGTGACTGCTGTGCTTGGTGCTTGCATTTGTGCCTGTGCTTGAGCTAGACTGTGAGCTCTTCAGGAGCAGGGACTCTGTTTGGTTTTGTTCTGTACAGTAGCCCCAAACCTTGCACATAATAGCCTATTAAATAAACACTTGATGTTTGATTCACTAGCCACCTGATTCTAGGAGTTTATAGTGGTAATAAATGTTATTTAATAAATTTGTGTAACACATGTTTGAGGTGCCTTTCATTTTCATTGTTTTCTCACATTCTGTGTGAAGTTTGTGGTGCCTGGTCTTGCCTTGATCTGAGTTTTAGAAGTTTTAGGTAACTACAGTGGGAGTTGTTACAGTTTGAAAAACAGACTCCCTTTGGGAGTAGCACTATCATTACAAGCAGAAAGCATATTTGTGGTGTAGTTAGCTGAATGCTGTTGTTTTTAGTGATGGTACTGTATAAAGAAAGCTGGGAAATGTAGCTGACAGGAGTCTCAATGAGATTTAGCTTGGCTAAAGTTTATTACTCATTTTTTTAAGTTTAAAAAAATTAAAACTGAGGATATGGTCAGTGAAGTAAGGTTTTAAACAGGATTGACCAACCATAAACTGTGATCTTGACATATGTCTTCTATATTAAAGAGCTTATTGCTAACGGGTATTTTCAAGTGTGATTGGAAAGACTGCGTGGAGGACCTTTGCAGAGTGGGTTTAATTACATTCCAGCGGGCAAGTAGGATGGAGTGGGCATTGGCTTTGGGTTCACACACACTGCAGCTCTTGTACTTGTCTCTGCTTATCTCAAATTTTTTCTTAACCAAACCCCCAAATTGATTGCATTCTTGGTTTTATTTTTCTTTATTGATTTTTCTTGCCACTGCTATAATTATTTGTAGGCAACCCCATCTCTCAAGGTGATAAAATAATTGAAATACCAAGTAGATTGCTGAAGATGTCTCTGGAGCTAATGGGGTCGTGGCTCACAGTAGTGTGAAAGTGACCAGTGAGGGGAAGTGATGGCGGTGTTCTCACAGTGGAGCATGCTGGGATGTAATTGTTATCTGTAGCCACACATGTGGCTAATGTGCGGCTACATGTGCTTTGTGCTTACCCTGTTGGACAACACAGTTTAGAATGAAAAGACGAATTCTTTACTTGTAAAATATTTTGTGCACACACACACACACACACACACACACACTTACACACACTTTCAAAGATACCTCAAGGTTTCAGAAATGGCTTTGAACATTTTAAGGAGGCAGTGGTGACAAGGTAGTCATTTTGGGTGAGTGAGATGGCTGAGCAGGTAAAGGTCCTGCTGCCAAGTCTGACGATCTGAGTTCCATTTCCAGGACCCATGTAAAGATGGGAGAACAGGGTGTGTGTGTGTGTGTGTGTGTGCGCGCGCGCGCGCGCGCATGTGCGTGTGTGTGCGTGCGTTCACGTGCACAGCAGGGAGAGGGAAGATGGAGAACATAAATATTAAAAATTTAAGACAATTTCTAAAATCTAGTTGGAGATATCCTGGGATGCACTACGTTAGGTTGTGAATGCAAAGCATATTTAGGGAACTTAGGGAGCCTGCTTCTGTTCAGTTCTACATTAGACTAAATTCTTTGTTTCTGGTGTTTAATGCTGTCATAGAAATGTTTTAGAAATGAAGTGCGAATAACCTGGTGTTAATATGACCTATGATAAATTTTGCATATTTCTTACAATAATTACTGTTTGGAACATTTCTGAGTTTAACTTAACAGCACTGCCGCTACCTTGGAAGGATGCAGTTCTTTCACTGCCTTCCTCTGCTTTCTCAGACTTGGTACTTTGAAAAATAGAAATAGAAGCTTCCATTTTATTTTAGTTTATTTTCTTGGGGAGAGGTCAATTCTGTGTCAGATCCACCGTCTTGAATTCCTCATGAATTATCTTGGGTAATAAGAGTAGTTAGTAAGTTATTGTGATTTACAGGCATAGGCTTGGGACTGTGTGACTGTACCCTAGATCCCCAGACAGACGGAGAAGACACTTGCTTCAGTTATTCTCACAGAGTTATCAGACATAGTTTATAGCTCAGTAGTGCAGCTCAGGGCAGCAGCTGTACGGCTTAAAAAAGTTTGTAAGTTAGTGGGTAGTTTGCTCTTCAGTTTAGACTGGTGTGAAAGGCCTGGAGCTGGACATAGGCAAGCTAATTGGGCCGTTTTCGTCCAAAAAATTAATGGACCTAAATTAATGCCTTGAACTGAGGTATAGAAAAAGGAGAATCAAGAAATCGGTAGGTTTAGGTGCCTGCTGGTCACAGGGAGAGAGAATCAACACTTTCTAAAATTGTGGCTGTGGTCACTGCTGTATTCTGGTCATAGTTTGTCTCCTAGAGGTTCTTGTCTGGAGACTTGGCCTGTGGTACTGTGATTCTCAGGTGGAAGAACTGTTGACAGGGTGGAAAGTTTAAGTAATAGGGTTCCACTTTTATAATGGATTAATGTCAGGGTTTTGGAACATTGTAGATTTTGTAGGCATTCATATTGCAGTGGGTTGTTACCAAGCCTAGCCCTTCCCTGTCCGCTTGCTTCTCTGTTTGTACACGCTCCTTATGCCTGTAGACTGCTACTCTGACCTGTTATGATGGCCAGAGGCCCACACCAGGGTGCTGGCACCATGCTTTATGTTCTCCAGTAAATAAGATTGTGAGCTAAATTAACCCTTTTTAAGTTGCCTTAGCCCAGGGTATTTTGTTATGTGCATGCGTGTGTGAACGCATCCATGGGATGGTTGGTGACAAGGGAGAACCTGTGGGTTGGGGTGAAGCTGATGGAGTTATAGTAGCTGTGTTTCTTAGGTTTTCAAAAGAGAAGCATGTGGGCTCTCATAAGTTCATCATGTGAAGATTCCTACCCTAGGCTGTCGTTTGTCATTTATTGTGCCCAGTGTTTAGACAAATAGGAAAGGTACTTTTTCATATTGCAGATTGCAAATGAGATGAATAAAAAACTCCTGTGGAAAATTGACAACTTTCCCAAAGATAAGAACAAAGTCAGGAAAGTGTAGTATTACAGAAGCATGGAGAATATTTTTGTTAATGCCAAGGAGAAATCAAGGAGGGTAAAGGCTGCATCAGAATTGGACCTGGTGACCTTTATAGAGCCAATTTTCAGGGATTGGAAGGGTTAGAAAGCAGGTTTTATGCCAGGTCTTTGAAAGTTTTATACTTTGGATTTATTGTTAGCTGAAATAACCTGGGTAAGTAGTGAAAGGCGAGCCAGTGCAGTATTGCCCTCCTGCTAATGTGTTTCAGCTCCTGGCTCTGTCCTGTTCCCTGGAGGACATTAGTTTGTTTTTGTTGTTCTTCCTTTTTGTATGTTCTTTTAGGTCATATGCAAATATAAACATACTATATTTGTATGTTATATGTGCATGTTTTAATCTC